AGGACGTCCTTCTTCACCCAAAGAGTGATTAACACTTGGAATTCACTGCCACAGGAAGTGGTGGTGGCTACAAGCATGGACGGCTTCAAAAGGGAATTAGATAAGCATATGGAGCAGAGGTCCATCAGTGGCTATTAGCCACGAGGTATAGATAGGGACTCTGGGGCAAGTGATGCTCTGTCATCTTGGTGCTTGGGGGGGTCAACAGTGGGAGGGCTTCTAATGTCCTGGCCCCACTGGTGGACCTCCTGATGGCACTGGTATTTCTGGCCACTGTGTGATACAGAGTGTTGGACTGGATGGGCCTTTGGCCTGATCCAACATTGGCATCTCTTATGTTCTTATGTTCAGGGTCAGCCCCGGTTAGTAATAATAATAATCTTTCAATTTATTAATCGCTCAATCCTGCAGAGCTTGCTGGCTCTGAGCGATCTACAGTTACTCCATTACACACAGGACTAACAATGATTCAAGGGGTAAGGGAGGACAACATATATTCTTTAAATCACACACGTTCGTAGCCGACGGGGAGTTTGTTCAGCTGTAAGGTCAGACGTGTTCCAGCGGCATTTTTCCCTCGGCATGGCTTGATGTCGTCAGCTTTCTCCGGACTGCTTGTCAGTACTTGGAGGGGAGACTACTAGGGATGTGCAAAGAAGAAAAGAATCCAGTATTCTGTGGATTCATGGGTTTTGGGCCCTCAAGAATTCCGTATTGCCTTGAAAAGCCAATTCCAATATCAGTATTGTATTGGAATTCGGGTACAATTTGGGAATCCCGAATTTTTCAACTCCAGTGTACCCTATGAGCCATTATAAAGGGTAAAGGTTTCCCTTGCTCGGAAGCCAGTCGAATCTGACTCTAGGGTTGCGGTCAATGTTCCCTCTAAGCTGTGGAGTCTTGGGAGCAAAAATTCTACTTTGTGAGCTACTGGCATTAAAGTTGTGAGCAGGCAATTTGGATACTGCATAAATTACTTTGCTCTGGAGCCCTCCTTCCTGAGCTAAGACAAAAATGTGTGAGCCGGAGGGTAAAAAACTGTGAGCTAGCTCACACTAACTCAGCTTAGAGGGAACACTGGTTGCGGTGCTCATCTCCGTTTCAAAGCCGAAGAGCCAGCGCTGTCCGAAGACATTTCCGTGGTCATGTGGCCGGCATGACTAGACGCCGAGGTGCACGGAACGCTGTTACCTTCCCACCAAAGCGGTACCTATTTATCTACTTGCAGTTTATTGCTTTCGACCTGCTAGGTTGGCAGGAGCTGGGGCCAGAGACGGGAGCTCACTCCGTCACGCGGCACTCAGGTTTCGAACTGCCGATCTACAGACCTTCCAGCCTGCAGTTCAGCGTCTTAACCTCTGAGCCAATTGCAAATCTCCTAGGGTATATTCAGTGGTCGGGGGGGGGGCTTTTGAGGTGGAGGCATCAAATTTGCAGTGTAGCTGCTGGGGCCTCTCCCCAAAAGAACCCCCAGGTTTCGACAAGATTAGACCATGGGGTCCAATTCTACGGGCACCCAAAGAGGGTGCCCCCGTCCTCCTTTGTTTCCAGTGGTGGGGAAAAAAGCCAGGCAGGGAATACGATAAGCCCGGGCAAATTCTCCCAGAGTCTCTGCAGTAGAAAGTGAGGTGTGGAGAGGGGGCATGTTTGCAACGGCAACAGTTTGCAACGAGAGCCAGTTTGGTGTAGTAGTTAAGTGCGCGGACTCTAATCTGGGAGAACCGGGTTTGATTCCCCACTCCTCCACATGCAGCTGCTGGATGACCTTGGGCAAGCCGTAGTTCTGATAAGAGCTGTTCTTGAAAAAAAGCCGTTTTTGTCAGAGCTCTCTCAGCCCCAACTACCTCACAGGGTGTCTGTTGTGGGGAGGGGGAGGGAAAGGAGATTGTCAGCTGCTCTGAGACTCCCTTGGGTCGTGAAGGTGGAAATTAGAACAACATTAGAAAGGTACTGGCTCCATTTTTAACCAAAATAAGCACTGGTGCGGAGGACGGAAAATTAAGCGCTTCCCTTCCGTCTGGAACAACGGAGCCAATGTTGTGCATCTCTCTCTGTTTTTGTTTTTGGTTCCGGGCAGGATCCGCGACATCCGGCTCTTCATCGTGGATGCCCGGCCGGCGATGGCCGCCACCGGCTTCATCCTCATGACCACCTTCCCGAACAAAGAGCTATCGGACGAGGATCAGACCCTGAAGGAAGCCAACCTCCTCAACGCCGTCATCGTCCAGCGGTTAATATAACGGGACCCCCCGGCCAGCCGCGCGCCTTTCTCATGTAACCCCCCCTCTCACTTGCGCGTGCGCCCCCCGTGCAGTGCGGCGCCACGGCTGCGTCCCAGGGCTGAGTTCCGGGCTCTCTTGGGTTGGACTCTTTAGTTGCGTTTCCCACACTCTCTCTTTATTATTTTTTTTTTGTGCTGATTGATGGACTTTAAAAACAAAAAAAATTAAAACCAAACACGGACTTTTGAACGGAGCGGCCGCCTCCAGTCGCGTCTGCCGCACACCGGCACTGGATAACTTATGGAGTCGATTGCCGTCCCGAGCGGGGGGTGAGGGGGAGGGCCAAAGAGTGTGTGACCCTCTGCGGTAGCCATTAAATTCTTCTCTTCGGTGTATTAAAATAAAGAACACCCCCCCAAAAAAAGGGGCCTTGCTGTCTCGGTTGCCGATAAAACCATCACATCACTGGTGTTCTCCAGGTGTACGGCTGGAAGCCGGGGAGTCTTGCGAGTCCCTCCCTCAGCAGTTCCTGGACCTTATACCTTACCATCTCTCCTCTCCGCCCCTACTAGGGAAGGCCAAGATTTCCTGGCTTCTGTCCATTTAGGATACTTTGGAAAGCTGCCGCTGGGCCCCATGGGAAGGTTTACTCCACAGCACAGGGTGTGGTTCATCTTCCTGCTCCTTTGGGCACGTTATGGGCCTCAAGAACAGACCATTCGTAGACTTGGGGTGGGGGGGAAGCAAAGTTTGTGTTGGTGTGTGAGAGTCACGGTGTGCGAGGGTTCGGTCCAACTGGAATCCTGTGGTACCGTTTTGGATCAAAGTTAACTTGGTTTTCTTATTTAAGGAAAGAGTTCGTCGGCGGCCTTTGTAGCCCCCCTCCCCCCGGCTGTTTTTCACATCATGCAACTTGGGGGAGGGGTGGCTTTAGAAGACTCCGATGAAGTGTTAACTGTTCGATCTCGGCAGCCGCTCAGAACGAGAGCCTGGGAGAGAAACGCACGTAACTCTTTTTGGAACAGACGCAGCACAACTGCCGTCCCCCTCTTTTGGGCCTGCTCTTACCCCCTGTACCTCTGTTGCAGCTTCGGCCGGGGTGAGCATTGGCATTTGGGTTTGCATCTCAGGATGGAGGGGGGGGCAGGAGGGGTGTGGGGGGTATATATGAGCCCACATTTCAGGAAAGGGGAGATCAGATCAGCACCAGCCCGCTCTCCCAGCCAGCGGTGATTCGGCGCGGGAGTGTCGGAACGGGTGTTTCTCGTGGCCGAACGGAGCCACGCCCCGTGTTGACGGCGAACTCTGTAAATTATCGTGACTAGTTGTGTAAGCATTAAAAATCCAAGCCCACGCCAGCAGTTGTCTGCCCCTTTCTAAGGCGAACCCCGTCTCCTGTCCTGCCCACGGCGGCCAGTGGTAGGCGTGCAGAAGAGAGGGTCCCGGATGGTTTCTCGTCCCCCGTCGATGGAAGCTCTCACAGACTTCGTGGGAGGGAGAGGCTCCTGCAGATCTGTCCCCTCTCGGGGTGTGAGATATCTCCCTAGCTAAAGATCTGGGGCTTGCTATTCTATTTCTATACGAGCCGCTTCGGCGGGTGGGCGGGATAGCAACCGGACGAATAAATAGAATAAAAATAAATATTGTTTGTTATTTTATTATTGTTATCGTTATTTTATTATTTATCCCGATATTGGTTTTTATCGCAAGCCCCAGATCTCTCCCCACCTTAAAAGACTATTCAGTTTGGTGTAGTGGTTAAGTGCGCGGGCTCTAATCTGGGAGAACCGGGTTTGATTCCCCACTCCTCCGCTTGCACCTGGCTGGATGAGCGTGAGCAAGCCATCGTTCTGATAAGAGCTGTCCTTGAAAAAGAGCCGTTTCTGTCAAGAGCTCTCTCAGCCCCACCTGCCTCACAGGGTGTCTGTTGTGGGGAGGGGAAGGGAGAGGAGTTTGTAAGCCACTCTGAGACACCTTCGGGTAGTGAAGGGCAAGTTTGAGTCCAGTGGCACCTTTAACACCAAAAAAGGTGTTTAAAAGGTGTTAACACCAAAAAAAGCCAGTTCGGTGTAGTGGTTAAGTGTGCAGACTCTAGCCTGGGAGAACCGGGTTTGATTTCCCCATGCCTCTTCTTGCAGCTGCTGGATGACCTTGGGCAAGCCATAGTTCTCTCAGAGCTGTTCTTGAAAAAGAGCAGTTCTCAGTCAGAGTTCCCTCAGCCCCGCCTACCTCACAGGGTGTCTGTTGTGGGGAGGGGAAGGGAAAGGAGTTTGTAAGCCGCTCTGAGACTCCTTCGGGTAGTGAAGGGCAGGGTATAAGTCCAATCTCTTCTTCTTCTTCAAGGCAAGAGGAAACCTGGACATCCTTGGTGGTCTCCTATCCAAGGACTAACCAGGAATGACCTTGATTTGCTTCTGAGATCTGATGATTCTGGGCTAGCCTGGGCCATCCAGGTGAGGGCAGAGATGAACAGCGGAGGTTTGCCCTTGCCTGCCTCTGCAGAGTGACCCTGGACTTCCCTGGTGAGCCAGTTTGGTGTCGTGGTTAGGAGCAAGGACTCTAATCTGGAAGAACCGGGTTTGATTCCCCTACTCCTCCACTCGCAGCTGCTGGTGTGATCTTGTAAGCCGCTCTGAGACACCTTCGAGTAGTGAAGGGCGGGGTATAAATCCAATCTCTTCTCTCTTCTTAAGCCCCCTCAAGTGCCCTGGTAAGCAGGCAAGGCCTCAGAACGTCTCCTGGTGTCAGACCCCGGTCCACTTATACCCAACGACTCTCGCTTTGGCAGTGATACGTTTATTGGAGTATACGCAGGATCCAAAAGTCACCGTGTCAGCACTGAAATCTTTTGGTGGGCACAAGCATATTATAGAAAAGCAAACAGATGCCATCCAGCCCCCATCCGCACTTAGCCAAATTGCCATGCCAACCAGGGGAGACGTATGTCCTGGTAAATCTAGAGTCCGAGATGGTACAAGACTGTGTTCGAGGTCCCTTCTCCTGGGAAAGCAGAATAGGGAGGAGAAGGGCTCGTCTGGTGGAAAAGTCACGTCTTCTGAAAGCAAAGGTCTCACTCCCGCACACACTCTCAGGAATACCCCTCCACTTTCCAATAAACAGGACAGACGGTCTCCCATTCTCGCTGTCCCTGAAGAAGTGAGCTGTGACTCGCGAAAGCTCCTCCCCTGCCACAAATTCTGTTCGCCTTTAAGGTGCACCTGGAGTCTTGCTCTTTTCTACTGTATTGAGAGTCATTCCGGTTTCGGCCCATTAGACGGGAGTTGCTCTGCACGGGTATTGCGCCGTGTATCTCCAACGCACAGCTCCTGACTTCTGAGGAAAGGCTGAAAGAGTTGGGGTCTGTTTAGCCTGGGAAAGAGAAGGCTTCGAGGGGACAGGATTGCAGTCTTCAAGTATTTGAAGGGCTGTTGTGCAGAAGATGGAGCAGATCTATTCTCTCTTGCTCCGGATTGCAAGACTAGATCTAATGAGTGGAAATTACAGGGGAGTCGTTACCAGCTAAATATCAGGAGAAAACTTCTTAACTGTAAGTGGTTGAGCAGTGAAACACAGACTGCCTCGGGAGGTGGTGGATCCTCCTTCGCTGGACGTTTTCAAGCGAACGCTGGACGACCTTTCGGGTATGTTGCAGTACTCTCTTTCGGCTCTGCTCCTGCAGAGTGCAGGGGGTTGGACTAGATGACCTGCAAGGTCCCTTCCAACTCTAACATTCCATGATTCTAAGTGCCCTGGTGAGCAGGCAGGGCCTCCGAATATCTCCTTGTGTCAGACCCCGGTCCACTTATACCCAACGACTCTCGCTTTGGCAGTGATTCGTTTATTGGAGTATACGCAGGATCCAAAAGTCACCGTGTCAGCACTGAAATCTTTTGGTGGGCACAAGCATATTATAGAAAAGCAAACAGATGCCATCCAGCCCCCATCCGCACTTAGCCAAATTGCCATGCCAACCAGGGGAGACGTATGTCCTGGTAAATCTAGAGTCCGAGATGGTACAAGACTGTGTTCGAGGTCGCTTCTCCTGGGAAAGCAGAATAGGGAGGAGAAGGGCTCGTCTGGTGGAAAAGTCACGTCTTCTGAAAGCAAAGGTCTCACTCCCGCACACACTCTCAGGAATACCCCTCCACTTTCCAATAAACAGGACAGACGGTCTCCCATTCTCGCTGTCCCTGAAGAAGTGAGCTGTGACTCGCGAAAGCTCCTCCCCTGCCACAAATTCTGTTCGCCTTTAAGGTGCACCTGGAGTCTTGCTCTTTTCTACTGTATTGAGAGTCATTCCGGTTTCGGCCCATTAGACGGGAGTTGCTCTGCACGGGTATTGCGCCGTGTATCTCCAACGCACAGCTCCTGACTTCTTTGAGGGTGCTTGCACGCAGTCATCTGGCTCTGCCAACAGGTGGCGCTGCTGCTCCATGGCCGGAGCTTCCAGAGGAGGGGGGGGCTGGGATCTTTGGGGATCTAGAAGAAGAAGAAGAGATTGGATTTATCCCCCCGCCCTTCACTCGGAGTCTCAGAGCGGCTGACAAACTCTTTTCCCTTCCCCTCCCCACAACAGACACCCTGTGAGGTGGGGGGGGCTGAGAGAGCTCTTTCAAGAACTGCCCTCTCAAGGACAGCTCTCGTCAGAACTACGGCTTGCCCAAGGTCATCCAGCAGCTGCAAGTGGGGGAATCAAACCCGGTTCTCCCAGATTAGAGTCTACGCACTTAACCACGACACCAAACTGGGTACATGTGGGATGTAGAGACTGTCACGGGGCTCTCCTCGCAACCAAGGGAGAGTTGTCCTCCAGTCCTTTGATCATCTTCTTTCCCTCTGTGATTCAAGATACCTTTGCCGTGTCCTTCACACTTCCTCGGTCAAGTACTTCCAGAGGAGTGAAAATTCCAGGGGTCATTTCGTAGAAAAAGAGGTGCAGGAGCTCATTTGCATGACTCATTTGCATATGCCACACCCCCTGACATCACCGGAAGTGTGTCAGAAGGCAACACCCACCGCTCAGGCTCCACTGGACTGTTTTGGATTGCTAGCTATTGGGGGGGGGGGGGACGTGCAGATCTCTCCTTGCAAAGGAGGGAGAGCTTGTACCTGAATAAAACTTGGTCTTA